TTTTTTTTTTTTTTTTTTTTATCATAGCCCCCTAAGGGGTATGAAGTGATATTTCAGTGTGGTTTTGATTTGCATCTCCCTAATAACTAGTAATGTTGAGCATATTTATGTGCTTATTGGCCATTTGTATGGCTTCTTTGGAGAAATGCATATTCAAATTATTTGCCCATTTTAAAAATTGTTTTTTGTTATTGTTGTTGAATTATAGGAGTTCTTTATATATTCTGGAATTAACCCCTTTCAGATATATGATTGGCAAAAATGTGCTCCTATTCTGTGAGTTGTCTTTTCACTTTCTTGCCCTTTGATGCACAGAAGTTTTTTAATTTTGAGGAAGTCAGATTTACCTATTTTTGATCTTGTTGCTTATGCTTTTTGGTATCACATTTAAGAAACGATTGCCAAATCAAAGATCATAAAAATGTATGCCTAAGTTTCTTCTAAGAGTTTTATAGTTTTCAGTCTTACATTTAGATCTTTGACCCATTTTGAGTTAATTTCTTTATATGGTGTGAGGGAAGGATCCAACTTTATTCTTTTGCATGTGTGTATCCAGCTGTCCCAGCATCATTTGTTGAAAAGACTACTCTCTCCACATTGAATTTTCTTGGCACCCGTGTCAAAAATCCATTGGCTGTAAAGGTGCTGGTTTATTTCTGGATTCTCAGTTTTCCCATTTGTCTATCCTGTGCCAGTACAGCATGGTCTTCATTACTGTAGCTGTGTAGTGAGTTTGGAGTCGAGAAGTGTGTGTCCTCCAACTTGTTTTTATTATTCAACATTGTTTTGACTATTGTGGGCCTCTTAAAGTTTCATATAAACTTTGGGCTCAGCTCGTCAATTTTTGTAAAGTAGTTTGGACATTTTTAGGGATTGCATGGAGTCTGTAGGTGATTGGGGAGTATAGGAAGTCCTCATTTAGTGTCATCAGTAGGTTCTTGAAACTATAGGAAAATGATGAATAACAAAACTATTTGACCACAGGCTAATTGACATAAACAAGAGTTAATTTCCTACCACATTTCATCAGTGTTGTAATGAAAGGACATTGAGTGACATGGCATTATTTTAGGGCCACCTATATTGCCATTTTAACGCTATTAAGCCCTCTGACAATAAACATGAGTGTCTTTCCATTTTCTTAGGTCTCAATTTTTTCAACAATATTTTATATTTTTCAGAGTGTAAGTTTTGTATTTCTTTGTTAAGTTTATTCCTATCTTGTTTTTTGATTATACTATAAATGGAATTGGTTTCTAATTTCATTTTCAGATTGTTCAATGGACATGCATAGAAATAGTTGATTTTTTCTTTTAATCTTCACCTGAGGATATTTTTTCCATTGCTTTTTCAGAGAGAGTGGAAAGAGAGAGAGAGAGAGAGATGTTGATGTGAGGGAGACACATCAAGTGGTTGCCTCCTGCTCGCAGTGGGACCAGGGCTGAGCCTGCAGCCGAGGTACATGCCCTTCGGTCTGCGGGCCGATGCTCTAACCACTGAGCAAAATCGGCCAGGGCTACAGTTGATTTTTATATGGGTGTTGTGTTCTAAAACCTTCCTGAATTAGGTTATTAGTTTTAATATTTTTATTGAATTTCTTAGGATTTTCTGTATATAAGGTCATGCCTTTTGCAAAAGGATAGTTTTATTTCTCCCTTTCCCTTTATAGAAATATGTACCTTTTATTTCATTTTCTTGTCTAGTTCTCCAGGCTAAAACCGCCAGTAAAATGCTGATAGCAGCTGTAAGGGAGTGCACCATGTCGCAGGAGCAGCTGTTTGGTAGCTTGCTCCGGCAACATGGCCTCCAAATTTGGGGCTCCTCGGGCACCTTGGGCACCACTGCAGCCCCTGCAGCTCCCGTGGGTGGGTTCAGAGGATTTGGACAACATCTACAGCAGCAGGTTCCGCATTCCGCCTTTCTGCCCCAGCTAGCAGGCGCTACTAGATTCTTCAGTGGGACTCAGAACAAACATTCTGGATTTGGTGCTGGTTTTGGCACAGCTGGAACTAGAACTGGTTTAGGCACTGGCTTGGGAGCTGGGCTGGGATTTGGAGGATTTGGAGGATTTAACGCAGCAGCAGCAGCAGCAGCAGCAAAGTACATCAGGGTCTCTTTAGTCAGCCTGCACAGGCTTCTCCCCAGGCCCCCCAGCTCACAAATACTGCAAATGCTCTTTCTGCTCCAGTGCTGTTAGGAGACGAGAGAGGTGCTATTTTGGCAAAATGGAATCAACTGCAAGCCTTCGGGGAAGCAGGAAAGGCTATTTCAACAATAACATCCCACCAGTGGAATCGGCACAAGAAAATCTCCTTGTCGATTTAAGGCAGTGGGTTATGGGTACAACTATAACCCAATAATAAAGATGAAGATGGGCTAGTGGTTTTAGTTTTTAACAAAAAAGAAACAGATATTCAAAGCCAGCAACAGCAGCTGGTAGAATCACTGCATAAAGTTTTGGGAGGAAACCAGACCCTTACAGTAAATGTAGAGGGCATTTTAACACACTGCCAGATGATCAGACAGAAGTTGACATTTAGGTTGCTGAGCGTTCTCAAGAAGAGTCACAGATACAAGGCTAGATGCGCATTCTGAGCAAACCAGTATAGAAACACAGCTGCAGCAGCGTGGTGTGCCCCTCCCCATGGCTAGGCCAGGGCTCTCCTGCACAGCTCAGACAGCTTGTGCAGAATCCTCCCGCTGTTACCTGGGAACAAGGCATGGTGGATAACTGAAAAGTTAGTTCCTGTACCAATGGTGGGTTTCAAAGACTGAAGAGTCACGATCAGATGATTAAGCAGCATCAGACCAAATTAGATATCTGAAGATATTGGTGAATTACAGAAGAATCAAACTACAGCTATGGCCAAAATTGCATCAGACAAGAGGCAACTCATGGACCTTCCCACAGAACCTCACAGGTCCTAGTCAAGTTCAGAGGCAGAGCGGGTGTGCCATCCACGCTGAGGAGGAACAGTGGTGGGCTCAGCCAGATACAGTCCAGTGTGAACTCAACGCACCACCTCTTTTAGGGGCCGACTGAGGGAACCCATGTCCCAAATCAGGATGCAGGCTCATTTTGGATACAACAAAATTACATTTTATTATTTTTGCAACTTTTTGTTCTTTAAACCTTTTTAGCTCTAAAAAAGATGAAAACAAATTCTTGATTGCAGCTACTTTTATAAAATTCTGATTGGTGCTTTATTTGGTTCTGGGAGAATGACCATTCATGTCTACATTAAATCATAATCACAATCCAAAAAAAGAAAAAAAAAAAAGAAACTCTTAAGAGTGGACACTCTTACCTTATTTCTAATTGTAGGGAGAGAATATTGTCTTTTACCATTATACATTATTTTAGTTCGGGGTTTTAAATTATAAGCCCTTTATTTGATTAGAGGCAGTTCCCTTTTATTCCTGGTTTAAAGTTTATACTTTTTTAAATAATTGGGTGCTAAATTTTGTCATTTTTTTTGTATCTACTATAATTATCATAGCTTTTGTCCCTTAGTTTATTGATAAGGCGTGTTGTATTAATTTTTGGATGGTAAACTAACTTTGCATTTCTAGTATGTATCCCACTTGCTTATATGTATAATTTTTTTCATACATTGATGAGTTTGATTTGCTTGTGTTTTGCTGAGAATTTTCATATTTATATTTATAAGAGATACTGGTCTGTGGTTTTCTTACAACACTTTTGTCTGGTGTTGGTATCAGGGTAATATTGAATTCAGAAAGAGGGAGAAGCATTTTCTCCCATTACTTTTTTTGGAAGAGTTTGTGAAGAATTGATATTAATTCTTCTTTAAATGTTTGCTGGAATTTACCAGTGAAGCCATGTGGACACGAGCTTTCCTTTGTAGATAATTTTTTGATTACTAATTTACCTGTTATAGGTCTACTTATATTTTTATTTCTTCTTGAGTCAGCTTTGGTAGTTTGTGTCTGTTTCATCTAAATTATATAACTTGTTGGCATATAGTTGATCATAGGAGTCTCTTATAACCTTTTTTATTTCTGTAGGGTCAATAGTAATATCTCCTCTTTTATTCCTGATTTTAGAATTTGAGTCTTTTCACCCCCCCTTTTTTTGGTCCATTTAACAAAAGTTTGTTAATTTTGTTGATATTTTTAAAGAATAATTCTTTGTTTTATTGATCCATCCTTACTGTGTTTATATTTATTATTTTATTAACTTTCACTGTAATGTAATTTTTCTTCATTTTTTGGGGGGGTTAAATTTGCTATTTTTCTCTAATAAGGTGGAAAGTTACATTACTGGTTCGAAATGTTTGTTCTCATATAATGTAGATGTTTATAGCTATGATTTCCCTTCATGGCCTGCTTTAGCTGCACACCCTCAATGTCTTTTTGACACTTTTTGCTCCCTTGACATTTTGTCATCTTCTCTCCAGTTTTTCCCCCCTCTCCTTACTGCTCCTCTGCGGCCCTCTTTACTTCCTGGCCCTTACGGAAAATAGCCAGAGACCTTTGCACCGGCACCTGCGCTAAGTGCTTGATCATGTATCGTCTTGCTGAGCAGACGCTCTGTGAAGCACATGGTGTCGTGATCATTTTCTAGCTGAGGCAGCTCACATGCAGGAAGTTCAAGCACATAACACGCCAAGTTCTCTTATTAGTATACGTCAGGTTTGGCATCTGATCTTCTCCTGTCATGCTCCATGCCTTCTCCCTGGGTTTTTATTTTATTATTTTATTTTATTTTATTTTATATTTTATTTATTTAATTTATTTTATTTTATTTTTTATTTTATTTTATCTTATTTTTATTATTTTATTTTATTTATTTTATTATTTTATTTTTAAATTTAATTTAATTTTATTTATTATAGTGCTATTTCTATATGGACGGTTTTACCATGGGCTGTCCATGGGCTCTAACCCTGCTCTCGTTCCGCTCTGTGAGGTTCTTTCTTCTGATTGACGTACGTGCCTTTCCGTACTGCACCCAGCCCTCTGGGAAATCTTTCCTGAGGGCTTGGGATAGGATGAGGTGCCCCACCAGCTCCTTCTCTGGCCTTTGTTTATGGCTTTACCACTGCCCCTACCAAGTGGGGTACAATGTATATCCTTTCCTATGTTTGTCTTCTACTGCTGTGAGCTTCTATTGAGTAAGCCCTGAGTTTGCATATTATTTGGAGGGTTCTTTCTTTAACAAATGCTTGTAAAATGAATGAATCTGAGGTGGAAGAATATAGTTTGGGGGAAAACTGTTAGAGAGCTGGAGATCAGTATGGAGTTATCTCCCCAGACCTCTCTCATAAATTCAGTGAACTTTCACCTTCCACCTGCCTGTCTCCTGTGCGTCACTCAGGTTCCCGCTACCAGGCCAACTCCTTAGGGAAGTTGTTCCTGCCTAAAGGTTGGATAGGCTCCTTTAAACCTCTTCTGTGGCACTGCTGTGATGTAATTTATTAAATCTTTGTGAAGTTGTCTCTCTGATGTCTGTCTGCTCCACTTGATCCCAAGTTCTACAAGAACAGAGCCCCTGCCTTAGGTCTGTTCTCTGCATAGCTGTTTGCTGGCCCAGAGCCCAGAGCCTGGCCTTTAGAGGAAGTTCAATAGACAGTTCTTGGATAAATGAATTGCAGTAGCTTTCTTCTTTTTTATGTTTTTTCTTTGTTTTCTATATCTTGGTTGCCAGTTTAATCATGGAGACATTTTAGGTTGGCTGAGAAATATTCATCAAACACAGAGTGAGAGTGAGCTACAGACCAAGAGATTTCGGGACACAGAGCTTCCTAAAACAGGCTCCCTTCCAGCTAAATGCTGACCCTCCAGTCCAGAGCTAAAGAGCCATCATACAGGCAAGGCTGAGTGAGGACACTGCCTTCTGAGCACAGAGAGAACCTCGTTCTGGGGATGCAGAGAGAGATTTCACCCAGATTCCACAGGCCTTCACTTTTTTTTTTTTTTTTAAGTTGTGACGACTAAGAAAGTGGAAAGGACCTGGATGAATTGAGTCAACTTTGGCCATTCCCCCTTCTGGACCTTACGGAACCATTGATTTAGTTCTAGAGGCAGACAGGCTTTCTTTGCTAATGGGGTCTTTTGAAGCAATTGAGAGCTAGTAAGAATGTGTTAGGTTATCTAATTCTAAACTTGTCAGGTATGTGTGGTTTCTAAGTACTAGGGAGATCAGCCTTGACCGTGAAGCTTGCATATGTGTGGTATGTAGTTTTTACCGTAATCCTGAGATTTCTCTTCTTTCTAAAGTGGTGGCAAATGAATCTATTGAGAAAGACCCTGCCTCTTAACTGAACTTGGATATTGAGGCCCAGAAGTTGGCTGGTCTAGGACAAGATAAACCATCAAAGCCAACTCTTGTAGAGTCCTTGANCCACAGGCCTTCACATTTTTAAAAACAACAATTTATTTCAATGCTGTGTCCTTGAATCGATCATAGTGACATTATGAACATTTAATAGGCTAATCAAACTCCCAAGCAGGCTTTCTCACCGCCTCCCTCTGGCAGTGAGGTTCCCGACACCATTCTGTGTTCTCTTTCAGCGTCAGTGCTTCTCCAGGTTCTGGGTAGGTTCTGGGTTCCAGAGGGCACACGAGATGGCTGAGTGTTTGAGCAGATGCGGAGGCCTTGGCACAGGACCCGCTGTCCTTGTCTTTGATCTGATGTCCCGTCACTGGCCACAGCCACTCCGTTCCATGGTTAACCATGTTTAATACTTTGTTCTGGTCCCTGGAAATGACTTTGTTCAGCGGTCCCTTTTATGAGTGATCCTTGGTTACTCTAAGATTTGAAGAGTGAAAGTCACACAGTGGTTGCCTAGAGAAAACGGGTTTCATGCTTCATATTATTATATAATTTGTAGACTTCAGCTAAACCAATTTAAATGTTGCTTAATTTTCCACTTTGTGTGTGTTATGACCTTTCTTACCAAAAAAGGGGCTGGATTAAAGACACTTGATAATGGGTGTGGAGGAAGTGCGTTTGTTCCTAAATTGGGTGCTGTTTGTTATGAAGACAGACCCCGTCCTACTCATTTTAATGCCTGTTGATAGCAGTTTATGCTACTCTCCTGGTAATGCTCAATTCCTTATAATTCATAAAAATAAAGCACCTATACCTGTTTGAATTTTGATGAGTGAAAGGACTCTCCAAGCTTTTTTGTTAACTGTGAGCTCTTGCTGCTTGGAAACAGCTGGCCCAGTGCTGCGTGGTGCCCGCTCTCTGGCGGCAGCCTGCAGGGTGGCGAGGTGGCCCTCATGGCCCGGTTTGCATTTCAGCCTCCGCTCTCACTGGCGCTGCCAGGCTGGGAGCCTGCACGGCCAGATCCCTCTGTGTTTCCAGTTTCCTCATTGTACAAAAGGGACAATGACCTTAATTCTGAAAGGTGGTAAGGAGTTCATGAGTCAGTATGGACAGTGACTACATATTACTATCCTTCCATTCCTCGTGGCTCCCCTCCCTCCGCTTGTAAACATATAAAACACATATTGTGAGTAGAGTATTGGGTGTTTACAGGACTTCAGGCAGCTCAGTGAAGACCTGCTGTGACTGTGTGCTTGTTGGGGGCTCACTGCCATCTTCTCTCCATCGGCTGTCCTTGGTTCCGCCTCCCTCGGGCTCACTCAGCATCTGTCCTCTGGGTCGGTGGTACATATGGGAGAAAAGTTGTTGGCCACCGAGTAGATTGTCTGCCTCTTTAGAAGTTGCGGATTGACTATATATTGGATTTAGAGTTGAAGAATTAAAATGAAATGTGAATGTTGGGGGAGAGAGCAAACTATCACTTTAATTTTTTATTTTTTATTTTGTTTAGCTATCAAAAGGGTAGAGCTATCCAAGTGATCTCTTTCAAGATGCTTTTGTATTAATTCTCTCAACATCTGGCTCCTTTCCAGGTGCTTTCGGCTGATAGTTGGAGCCCACAGGCGCGATGCCGGAGCAGAGCAATGATTACCGGGTGGCCGTGTTCGGAGCGGGTGGTGTCGGCAAGAGCTCCCTCGTCTTGAGGTTTGTGAAGGGCACCTTCCGGGAGAGCTACATCCCCACCGTGGAGGACACTTACCGGCAGGTCATCAGCTGTGACAAGAGCATCTGCACCCTGCAGATCACGGACACCACAGGCAGCCACCAGTTCCCCGCCATGCAGAGGCTGTCCATCTCCAAGGGGCATGCCTTCATCCTGGTGTACTCCATCACCAGCCGGCAGTCCCTGGAGGAGCTCAAGCCCATCTACGAGCAGATCTGCGAGATCAAAGGGGATGTGGAGAGCATCCCCATCATGCTGGTGGGGAACAAGTGCGACGAGAGCCCGAGCCGCGAGGTGGAGAGCGGCGAGGCCGAGGCCCTGGCCCGCAAGTGGAAGTGCGCCTTCATGGAGACCTCGGCCAAGCTCAACCACAACGTGAAGGAGCTCTTCCAGGAGCTGCTCAACCTGGAGAAGCGCCGGACCGTGAGCCTGCAGGTGGATGGGAAGAAGAGCAAGCAGCAGCGGCGGAAGGAGAAGCTCCAGGGCAAGTGCACGGTCATGTGAACCCCTTCCCGCCCCCGCCCGCGAGCCCGCCATCGTCAGGGCAGCATGTCCGATGCCCGCGTGTTAACTACTGCATTTTGACTGAGACGTGCCCGGTTGTCCTCAAGAGGGAATTTCCCACCACCAGGCCCCTCCCAGAGTAGGGAGTCCCCCCCATGAGCAGGAGCTGAGCACCGCCCCCTGAAGGCGTGTCCCCTGAGGTGGTGTGAGCTGAGGGAGGGCCTGTCACCCGCATGAGTGCCCGAGCATGTTACCCTGGGGCGGCAGGCGCCACCGCAGGCCAGGCCTTTCCCTCTGCGCAGAGGCCAGCGCCATCCTTGGGCGGGGAGAGGCAGGAGGAGGTGAGAAGACCAGGCCAGAGCTGCTTTAGTTCATGGTTCTTTAACAGAATTTAAATAAAACCTCACAGCCTCCCCAGGGGACATTCACTCCCAGCTCCCAGCTGACCTGTGAGCCTTGCTCCCTGAGGGGACGCGCTCACCGCCCTAGACCATGAGCAGGCACCGGTTTCCCCCTTCACAGCTTTCCTCCCACGCCGGATGGTGAGCTCACGCCATGGGCTGCACTCTCAGCTCTGCGGAGTGTGGGTGGGGGCGTCCTGATGTCACAAAGCCCGCGACACTCGTGTGTTACACTCAGAGTGTTTTACATGTAAAGTTTCCCTCTTTAACCCATGGAGGGCACACCTTCTTCCAGCCCTCAAATTTTAAATACAAGTTATTAAAGTAGCAATTTTTAGACATTTCTGCTTTTCTGCAAGGTGGTTTTCTTCTTTTAAATAACTAGACCTGCGTCCCGCTGGGTGGCGGCGGCCAGGCCATGTGAAGCCAGAAGCACATTTGTTTTCCCAGTGACACCCAGAATATGCCACACTCTGTACCTTAATGAAGTATTTTGAACAGAAGTTTCACTGCGCCTTCGATGACTAGGACACTATTACCGGAAAGTGGCTTGGAGTGATAGGCGGTCCTGCATGTCCATTAGCAAGGTCTCGGAGCGGTTTAATGCAGCGCTCGCTCTGCCAGCAGCCTAATGAGCTGCGTGCACCCGAGTTCTCCAAGCCAGGGACGGCCACTGCGGCTCCTGCTGCTGGCGCCCAGACGGTTGGTTCCGGGAAGCCAGCCCCCGCTGCCAGCTCCCGCACCCCCCTCGCAGCAGTCCTCCCGGTCGCCACCTGGCAGGCAGGTGGTCCAGGGCTGCGCCAGGCCCAGGAGGGGTCCCTGCTGGGACAGCAGCCCCGCCCCGCGGAGCTGTGGGGTGTGGGGCGATTGCACTTCCCCCAGGGCTGTGGGGTGTGGGGCGACT